GCTATATTTTTACAAAAAAGACTTAATTTATTAACAGTTGATGACCCCTTTTTTGCAAAAGCTCATATGAGGTCATCAGCTTTCTACAAGAACACAGTGCCAACCAATACCAGGCCTTCTCAATCGACATCAAAGACCTATACTATGCTTTACCTCAGGTACGCCTTTTAGAGTGCATTGAAGACAGCATTGACTCGTATGGTGCCATAGCTTTCCAGAATACCTCCGGACTTTCTCAAAGCAACTTTCTTGACTTGCTCAGGTTTTACCTTAGGTCTACCTTCCTGTCTTGGAACGGTAACACCTACCTTCAAAAAAGGGAGTCTGCATTGGATCCTGAATAGCGCCGATTCTCAGTGATCTATTCCTAGCACACCACGACCGACTGCTTCAAAAGAGCTTAGATTCCTCGACTGTTGTGAAGGGGTTCCGCTACGTTGATGACTATTTGATACTTCTGGACACCAACGAAAAAGACCTCCCGATTCATGTGCCCAATGTGCTCGTCAAGTTTAAAACACGCTTAAACCCTTTGGAGATTACGCACGAGCTTCCAGAGTTAGGATCCTTAAGATTTCTGGACCTAAGATTGTCTCTTCAGCCCCGTCATGTCTGTTGGTTGTATGAGCCAAGAGGGAAAAAAACCACCCCTCAATTATAATTCGGCGCATTCTAAACTGGTAAAGAGAAGCATAGTTAATCAGTGCTTCAAAAACTCTTTTTTCAAGTCCTGCCCGCATTCAGGCCAGCAAGCTTCACATGGCAAGTATCTAGGATACTAAGTGCGGGATATCCTTCACATATGTTAACTTCAGTCGCCGAAAGTCTCCTTAAACAGATTAAAAAAGGTCAAATCATATCCCGCAAGCCACGCCAAAGATTTAGTAACCACAGACCAATAGTCATCCCCTACATTCATAACATTTCTCATAACCTGAAGAAGATTGGGAATCGCGCAGATATCGATGTAGTCTTTTCCGCCCCCATCAAACTATCAGGCCTATGTAAAAACGTTAACGCCATACTAAAAACTAATACCGTCTGCACTAAAAATCATAGAACCCCATACATACCTTGCTCAGAAGGAGTGATTTATTCCTTTCCCCTATCATGCGGCAAACAGTACATAGGACAAACTGGAAGATGTATTAATGACTGATTAATGGAACAGAACAACAACACCGGATTAGCAAACTCAGGACTTCTGGTCGTTCACTGCCGTGACTGTGGGTGCGCCGCAGACTTCGAAAATAGCACCATAATCGGAAAGAACAATCATCAGTTAACACGCGAGATAATAGAGGCAGCTAACATCATAAAAAAGAATGACACCTGTGTTAGTAGTCCATCCATAACCCTTACGGAAAAAGCATTGTGATATCTTGATTCTCGAAGGTAATGTGCGATAGAGATTGCTAATTGTTTTGTACAGAAGAGAGCCAAGTGAGATGACAAATTTAATGTGGGTAAAAGAAAAACGAAAGAAGACGAGAACACAATTTGAGCTGAAAGTCAACGCCACGCGAGTGGCCGTGTTTCTGGTGTGAGTGTGAGTGTGAGGGTGAGCGAGTTTACTTTAGCGCTTCTCCTACAATATAAACTACTGACCCTAGAAGGCATTCAGTGACGCCAAAGAACCGGAGCTCCAGTTGAGAACCACTTGTCTATTGGGGTGGGGATGCAACCACTGCGCCCCAAGCGGCAATTCCTAGAACTCAATCCATAGGGTCACCAAAAAGGAGGTAGCGCTCGGCAATAGGAGCCGAACATTGCGTCGCCGTTCGGCCGGGGCGGGGCGCCTGTTCCCCCGTCTCCCGAAGGAGGGCTATTTTTTAGCCATTCCGGTTTGAGTGAACAATGCAAAATGAACAGGACCATTCTCTAGCGCCTGGAAAACACAAACGTTGAAATGGGTCAAGATTACACCCTTTGACGGCTGTTTTCTATAAAGATCGGTCTTGCCCCCTCGTGCTAACATCATTGCATTGATTGTCAACAGTTTTAACGTTCCATTATGAACAAAGTCCACATTACATGTGCTGAGTAAGTACCTAGCTCTGGGGAAAGCAAGATAAATAGAACCCCCCCCCCCTCCCCCCCATAGTTTGATCTCCTCTCTAAGAGAGCCGAAGCATCCTACAGCATATTTCAGTTAGTTTGGGGCGACCTTAGGATGGTGGATTTGTTATACCCAGACCTTTACTTTTAAAAAGGAAATATTATTTATATCTTGTATTTGCCTTTTTCAAAGATTCCGATGCAAAATGAAATACGAGACAACTATATATTCAAAAATATCCTGCTTAAGTTAATGAAAATATAATATCCTATGATGGAGGATTGGAGAGTTGGCTATTTATACTTGTGATTTACTGTGCACAGGATCTACTCACACTCAAACACGCACGCCGCATCGCCCGTCATAGCAATGCGGTATTCTGAAGTTTGGTGGAGGTATTTAGAAGGTGTCGTAGCAGCAAATTTTATCGAAAGAGGTATGATTGGGGGGCTCAGAGCTTCTGTTAAAACGATCATGGCACATCGCAGAGGCCAACGCTCGGCGAGCACGGCCATTCTGATATCGTTGCCGATAAAATTTTTATTATGTCTCTCTTTCTAGAATTTCTGGAAAGCGTTCTTATTATCGTTTCTTGACTCTACAACCACAGAAAGAGAAGTTAATTTTTATTTGGTTTAAACACTATAATGAATGAAAAACATGCATATAATTTGGTTTTGATTTTGTTTCAGTTTCGGCTGTCTGCCTTGACGCACATCTCTGCTGAGGTGGTTAGCCATTGGTCGCCTTATTAGATGTATTCCGGTAGACACCTGAAAATTCCGTTAGGCTTGCACGTATGTTGTTTTGTTCTTGGATGGTAGTCTGGACGTACCCTTTTAGAACTGGATTGAACCTCTCAACCTGTACACTCGCCTCTTGATGTTAGATCACAGATCGACGATGAGAGCTTTCTCTTGAGTTCAGGATTTCCCGGAATGTGTGGGATAGAAACTTGGGACCATGGCTCAAACAATCACGTTCTGGTCTCATTCTCAACTGAAGATTGTTTTTAGAATGTCGCAGAATCCTTCAGCCGTCACTCGAGCACAGAAAGCGACCTCTGACCACTAACTGTAGTAATCCACCAAAGAAGGTGCAAAGCTGAATTCTGAAGAATGTCTGGAATGGTCCAACAACGTCAATTCTTAGCTGTTTTCATCCAATTGACTGAAACGGCACTGGTAGGAGAGGTGGCACTGCTGTCACCTCTATCTTGTTAGTTGTCTGACACGCGTGACAGTCGTTGATGCTAGTTTCCGCTTCAATGCCCATCCTCTGCCACCAGAAGCGCTGATGTAGACGCTGCTTGGTTCCTTCAAATACCGGGAGTGACTCGTATGCTAAGCCAATCTGTCGCCGTCAGAGTGAAGTAGGTGGAACCAGCACTTCTCCCGTAGCAGTACGTATAGTCAACCAAGGAGTGCTCTTCTCGTATCTTGTAGTACGGTGCCTGTACTCAGTCCCGTTGTTGTTCGAGTCCACATCGTGTGCTGACACACTGTATCACTCGAAGCAAATCCGTTTCTTGTATTATTTCATTTTTACCTCCTTTATGTCTTTTGAGTAGAGGTTACGTACGATGCAAGTAAATTCTTCAAACTCGCATGTTTCGGTGTGGTCGGAGAAATTGGGTGCAGTCAAACGAGAAAGTACTTCTGTCACTGGGCTAAATTGTTCTTCTCATTGGGAATTTTATGGCCTTATTTTAGAAGTCGCATAACCCACATGGCTATTTTCATCGGTTTTCTAACGATTCTCTCGGTATAAAATAGTGTAACGAGAGCCTGGTGGCCCGTCTTGAGCGTTAAATAGCGACCGAAAAGGAAGACGAGCCACTTCTCGCGGACCGAGAGACATGCCAGAGCCGAATATTTTACTAGGGGAATAGAGGACACTCTCTTCATTTGCATGAGGTAGAACGACGGCCGCACTATGAACTACCCCTTGTGCAGTATATTATTTGGCGACGCCTCTCTCTCCCACCCCGCTCCACGCCAGCAAAGCACGCGAAGGGGATGTCCTGGAATCCGGTGCGGTTGACAGCGTCGATAATGCGAAGACGGTACCGCTGCCGCCGTCAAGCGTGTTTCAGCGGATCATCGTTGCCGTCTTTTTGTATGTAGTCTCTGCGAGCGATCCTGTATTCCCCTAGTAAAGTATTCGACAAAGCTTCTTTTTCTTCTGTAGAGTAGTTGCGCTCGGTGCAAGGAAGTGTTTGGCAATGCGAATGAGACGGTGTGTATTCCATCTGGGTGTATTTCTTGCAGAACTGCGACCAACCCCTAACTCGGTGCATTCGTTGTGGTGACGGTAGGAAGTGCCACATCAAAAACGGTTGGTGGAACATAGTTTCGAATTAGTTATTTGACTGAGGTGAATGCCTCCTCTTGCTTTTTTTGCCACTGGAAGGGGATTTGTTTCGCAGGAGTGCATTTAGGGGCTCCACAATGGTTGCGAACTTGGGAATGAACTTGAGGTAGTAAGTTAGGAGACACAGCAAAGATCGAAATGACGTTGCATCTGTGGGGTCAGAAGCCTGCTTGATTTCACCGATGTTATCTCGGCATGGCTTAATACCTTGAGAAGTCAGTTCATGTCCAGGTATTGAAGCTGCAGCACTGAGAAAATGCATTTTTTTTTGCTTACTTTGATTCATGCATCTTGTAGACGGGTAAGAACGTGTCTTAGGTGGGCGTGAAATTCTTTTCTCGTGCGCCCGAAGCAGTCATGGGCACGTTACCAGTAAAAAGTAACAGTGTTACAGTTACAGTTACCTAGGGGGAAAAAGTAACTCTGTTACAGTTACAGTTATCGGATTAAAAAGTAACGTGTTACAGTTACAGTTACCGCAGAAAGAGTAACGCCGTTACTTTCTCGTTACAGTACCAAAATTGGACACAAGAAACCATAAACCAAAAAAAATATTTTATTTGTTACACTGTAGTGAGAAGAAAGATGAACTGCTGAGAAATTAGAAAACATTAAAACCGAAGGGTGCTTCTTTTTTGTGTCATTCGTCGTTTCAGAATTTTAACGATTATAACTTATTTGCAATATTTGTTATAACTTAATATCAACTGTTTTTCAAAATTGTCATCGGAGAGCTTCCCTCTCTTGATGGCGAACACATCGCGTCCTTTGCTGAACAGGCGTTCAGCCGGCGCGCTTGACGGAATCCCCGTGTTGAGCCTGATGAAGATCCTCTTTATCATGGGGAACCTTGAGAGCCCGGTCAGATCGGTCGCGGGGTCGCTCACCCACTGTTGCACCTCCGTTGATGATGGTAATGCTTGAGGCAAGTGGAAAAAAAAATCGTCTTCGTCGCCATCCTCTTTGCCTGTTGCGTCCTCACTGCAGTGCTCCTCCAGCGCACGACATTCTTCCTCGAGCAGCCGTACAGTTGCAGCTTTCCGCTCGTTTTCCATGATCCAGGATAGCTGGAACTTGGGGTGTACCGCCGCTGCAAGGGCCAAGTCCTTGTCTTCAAGAACTTCTGAAAACCTGTGACGAGACAAGAAACAAAAAGGAGATTTTTGCACTGCTTGAACCTATAAATCGAAATATGGATGATTGAAACCTACAATGTTAAGTGTAGATAGCTCGCACGGATATGCTACCATGCAAACGCATGTGCAGAGAGGGGTAGCAATATAGTGAACAACAAATATATCGCTCACCTCTTCTTGACTCCCGCCTCAAGGGCGTTGGAAAGTGGGGTGCAGTACTGCATTTGTGACAGGGACCCTTGGTATCGCAAGAGCGAGTGGAGAGTGGGCTGCAGCACACCCATATACATGTACTGCTCGCCTTGCAGGATGTCCAGTGCCTTCGCCACGCCATACATCGTCTGAAAGAGTACGAAAGGTTAGTGCACTGCATAAAGTGAAACAAATACGCTATTACAATACCTTGCAGTATTCGTCGATGAAGGCAAGCTCCTCGTTCTGTAGCTTTGGCAGCGAAAGTCTCTCGAATGTGGCGTCCAGTTTGCCTTTCGAGACCTCATTCAGGAACTTTACAGCGTTATACAAAGAGTTCCATCGCGTCGCGTTTGGGACAGGAAGTTGTCTTCCTAGGGTGAGTTTTATGGCTTCAGCGGCTTGAACTGACTGGGCTTGCTTCCTCCAGAGACATTTCAGTTTTGCAAACACATTCTTCGCCATTGCACCGTAAGGTAACTGGTTGCACGCGTTTTCAGCATCCGCGGAGGCAACTAGATTAAGAGTGTGTGCAGCGCACCTCTGGTGCCGAGGCAAGTGGATCTCTAATGTGCAAGCGCCTGGAGCTGTGTCAAGAACCTCTGTGATGCAATTTTGGATGACATCTTCCTCAGGTTCGGTAGCTTCTCCAAATACCCTGCGCCACAAAATAAGTCACACCCGTCAGAACCTTTACCCAGCTGAGCTTGAACGTCGCAAAAGATATGAGATGATAGGTTAGCTACAAATTTAAACAATCGTCTAGTAGTGTTTAATGACTCCGATGGGGAAGTGTCATAAAAATAGGATTACGAAATGAAGCTACGCAACGAGTGTACGTCCGGATATTTTCAATAAAACTGCCTAAACTCGGCCAAATTTCACATGTGGAGCTTCATTAATCGTATAAAAGCAGTAAATGTCCCCCTATTTTAATATGTGCCCCTACACTGCAGATCGCCCCAACAGCATAATAAAAATTGTGAATGAAACACAATGTACCGCATTTAATATGTAATTCTGGTATACGTTTGGGGTGATATGAAGGTGTCCAGCCGGAGCTCAAAGGGTAAAAAAACAAACAAAAAACAACAGGAACAAACAAGACCATAAACTTACCTAAAAGCCTTCACAAAGTTCGAACCATTGTCCGTGATCACGACACATATCTTGTGTAATATTTTGTAGTCCACAAACACTGCATGGAGCGCAGAAGCGATCACATCATATGTATGACGGCCTGAAAGCCGATGGCAGGTCAGCGCTGCGGATTTCCTTTCCAGGGATTCCTCATCCAGGAAGTGAACTGTCACTCCGAGAGAGCTCCTAAAAAGATTGGAAAAAAAAAGGAATGACTATTGTTGTTGCTGCGCCCTTCAATGTAGTGACAATGCAATCACGACCAAGCACGATGCTCTTGTATACATGCTTGAAGCTCCTATGGTCACCGCAAAATATTCTAATTGGAATCTTAAATTTCTGCAATTTTCTCGCCAGTCATACTAATTAGTTTAGGAACAACAAAGCTCCGGTTATAACCGTGACACTCATAATATAGCTGATTAATGCGGACTATTTTTATTATGTCTTACCATTTGACGACGAAATTACGAAAATGGCAATATGTTGGAAATCTAATAAGTGAAAATCAAGAGGTTGCACTAAGGAAAATAAGGAAAATCAAGAGGTTTCAAGCGAAAATGTTATATTTCGTTCCAACATACATCTGAGCGCCGCCAAAAGTTAAATGCGCGTCGAACAGTACAAAACAAAATCTAAAAACCCAAGGAAACAGCGTCCTCTCTGCTTTCATTGAATGAAAAAAAAAAGGACAAACGCCAGAACGGTGCCCTTTCGTAACGGTCTTGAATGGCTGAGCAGCCGCTTAGATTAAACAATTGTTGTGTTTATAATAAGCATGTGTGACACTGTATTACCCCACTCCTGCCTTTGCCCTATATTGGGCTGGCAGTATTGATAAATAAATAAATAAACAAGGTATCGCTGCGCTCGAATGGTGATTACGTTCAACTTCGGGTTTACTTGCGCGCGGGTGTTTTCTACGGTGTAAACGTATAACGCAAAGGGAAGATAACGTTATATGACTCTAACGCTGCCATAAATAAACGGCTGGATCAGTAACACAGTAGTGGCTTGTGGCTTGACTGGTCACAAACATATTAGCTCCATGCACTTACTGCTCAAGTGCTGATGCAACAGGAGACACTTTTTACAAAAAGACTAGAAAATGGACTACGAGATCTTTGATCTTAAGGCTAGGTTTCTGTTGACAATGTACTACAATATCTGTATATTAATTATTTCAGCTATTCACAAATTACAGGCTTAGATGTGCCGGGTTCTAAAACAAACCGACCTGCGTCTCACTGAGAGTATCGTATAGATAGGGTGCAGTGCATCAAGAACTTACCTGTTTGAGGCTGTCCAGCAGTCTGCTGTGCAGCAGACCCTCGTCGCCTTCTCAAGGGTAGCGATGAGGGACGCTTCTTGTTCTCGGTAGAGGATGTCCAGATGATTCACAAAAGACTTTCGGTTCATCACTGTTGCCGATGGCTGCATTCCGATGATCAAGCGCCGGAAGTGTTCATTTTCAACGACTGAAAAGCACTGCATGTCGCCTACCACAAAGTTTACAATTAGCCTGTCTATCTGACTTTGCGGCACAGCTTTGTGTCGACTCGTTCCTGCAAGATAGAACTCCAGTGTCTGTGTCGAGCCGCCACCCGTATGTCTTTTCTCATTCGAGGGCAGACCAGGTTCGGCTTTCCTTTTCTTAGAGTCGAATTCCTTCAGAGCGACAGGATGTTTCTTCTGCGCAAAAAAAAAAAAGAAAGAAAAGAGCACAATTTAATGATATGGATATATTTCCCCATCGTCAGCACAATTCATAACGCCAAATGAGCCATAAGAAACCGGAGTTCCCAAGAATAGAAAGCTTAAACATACCTCTAGATGCTTGCGCAGGTTGGACGAAGACGTCCTGCTTGCTGAGTACTGTTTACTGCAAATGTTGCACAGCACTGTGATGTTTGTCGCAGTCGTTGTCAGAACAGAAAAATATTCGCGATACGAGGGCCAAGGTAACGGCTGCTCCGTGTCGGAAGACATGACTGCCTGTCAGGATTGCTTGAGCGCTATCAAGAATAAACAGGCTGAACGCTGAAAGTAGTGAAAGCGCACAATAAAGACAAATACGAAGACGGAGAGGCAAACAGGACGAGCGCTGACTATCAACTGAATTTTTTATTGGAAAAAATAGAAACAGCAAAATAAAACCAGGGAAAGCCACAAATACTACAAATGTGACTAGTCATCAATGACTCGGCCACCACACGTGTCAATAAATTCCACTTCCTTTTTGTGAAGGAAAAGTGAGGGTTGACTGATACACTTATCAGGACATTCCTTCTTTATCATATAAGCCTCCAGTACCTCCCTCGCCACCTTTTCTTTACCTCTCCCAACGATTGTAGTGCCTTGGAAGTTGGGAATGCAGCGGCAATCTCTGCAATGTATGTGTAAATGGGCTCCTGTTGTTGAACGCAGTGATAAAGCATGTTCGCGCAACCGTTCATTCAAGCACCTTCCGGTCTGGCCTATATAAACCTTGCCGCAGCCCAATGGAATTTTATAGACCACGCCCACCGCACATTCCACGTATTTGTTTACGTGCTTCACTGTGCATTGCCGCTTATCTTTGTTTTTTTCCCTTATCCTCGGACATAGTTGAGCCAGTTTACGTGGTGCTGAGAATACCAGAGGTACCTCGAACCTTTCCGCCACTTTTTTAATATTGTGTGACACCCTGTGTAAGTATGGCATCACGTGGGGTCTTGCTCTCTTTTTTTGCTTGTCCTTTTGGCTTTTGCCCCTGAACTTCTTCAGAAGTTTTTCAGCCACTGCGAGCATAAGGGAAGTAGGATACCCTGCAGTTCCAAGTCTCTTGACCTGACTACAGAGGCTGTCGTGCATGGCATGGTGACATGACTTTCCAATTGCCGTCTCTAGACATGACGACGCAATGCTCCGTTTCACCAACTTCGAATGCGCCGAATCATAGGGGAGGATTCCCTTCTGGGTACGCGGTTTGTAACCCCAGCACACGTGTTCCCCTGTGAATTGCATTCGCAAATCCAGAAACTGTAAAAACTGCCCATCCTGGCGCTCAAGAGTGAACTTCAATTTCTTTTTTTTTTGTCAGCCAGGAATTTTAATTTTATAGTAAAAAGTAACTGTAACGGCCTAAACAGTTACAGTTACCCAATAAAAAAGTAACAGTGTTACAGTTACAAGTTACCAGTATTAAAGAGTAACGCGTTACAGTTAAAAGTTACCGAAAAAAGTAACTAGTTACCGGTAACGCGTTACTAGTAACTAGTTACTGCCCAAGACTGGCCCGAAGATGAACAAATCATCGAGGTAGACGATGCTACTGGGAGTACTTCTAAGAATGCAGTCTGTTATCTCTTTGAGACCGTGGGCAACGGAAGTCAGCCCGAAGCATACCCTGGTGAATCTGAATAGACCTTTTTCCGTCACGAATGCTGTAAGGTACTTACGTTCCTCAACCAGGTCCAACTGGTTGTACGCTGATGAGAGATATAACTTTCTGAAGAACTTTCCATCCGAAAGCTGGTGGGCAAGTTAATCGGAGCTTGGAAATGGATGAGAATCCAGAAAACGGGAGTATTTGACTTGCGTGCGTGTACGCAGAGCCGGATGTCTCCATTCTTTTTTCGTGCAACCATAATGGGGGATACCCACTCTGATGCAGCGATGCATTCAATGGCGCCGGAGTAATTCAGCTTTGCAAGGTCATCAGAAACCTTTTCACGCACTGCAAAAGGAAATCTTTGTTGTTTTTGTTGCACTAGACTGACGGCAGCTTTTGTCTTCACCTTCTGAATGAATCCTTTCTCATTGCCTAGACCTTCTGAGAAGAGGTGTCGGAAGCCCCTGATAAGCTTTGGAAGATTTCTCGCGGAAACGGGCGCAACCACTTGTCCCTCTTTCGGAGAACCAAAGTCGAGGTTCATATCCGGAGCTTGTAACACATTCAGCCCTATTACGGTCGTGCCGGTTCGCAGGACGTGAAATGTGCACGTGTCATTCCTTTCAGAAAACTCAGCAAGTGATTCGAATTTTCCCAGTATGGAAACGCCCTCTCCAGAGCCGTCGATGAGAGCTGTTCTCAATGGTTGCAACTTGCAGGACTGAGTGTATCTCAAGCAGGCGTTTTCAGGAAGGGTCGATAGCCATGATCCGGTATCAACAAGCAAGTGTCATTGAAACGCGCGACCAAAATATATCACAAGTAGTGAACTGTTTGGTGAAGCTAGAAGTAAAAACTTTAACTTGTTCTACGCTTCGCACGATGATTTTGCTTGGGAAACTCTCCATTTTCAAACAAAGAGGAATTGTCCCGTTATGTGGCATTTCCTGCA